TATTGCAGATTTTTTGGGATTTTCTGTCCTCGTGTTGTAAGGATAAATCAGATGATTTGTCCCAAAATGTCAGTGCGTTTATAGTAGAACGACGCGAAGCGGAGCTCGGACAAGCAGTCGAGTGCGGGAAAGACACTTTCCGCATGAGTTAGGAACAATATTTTTTCTACAAGCGTAGGGAAATTGGTTGATTTGTTCAATTAATTATTCATTCATATAGGAACAACTAACTAGAGAAATATAATAATAATAATAATAAAATTTATTCATCTTTTAAGATCACACACAATGATATAAGACATGTCAGGAATACAGGTATCTACAAAAATACAAAAATACATAGAGTTGAAAATTAAATTCAATATGGCGCAGTATGCAAAGCATTGACTTAACACATATTATCAGTAGAAATTGTATACACGCACTTCTCAATTAAATAATTCTTGAGAGCTCTTTTAAAAATATTATGGTCATTCAAGGTTTTTATGGATAGTGGGAGATAGTTGAAGAATTTTATTCCATTATACTGTGGACAGTGCTCATATAGAGTGGTTGAATGTTTAGGGACACAAAATTGTTTTCCATGTCTTGTTGAATAGTTATGGAAATCTTGGTTTATAGGAAATTCAGTGAGATGATTCTTGGCATACAAAATACATTTATAGATATATATTGACGGAAATGTAAGGATTTTGTGGTTTCTAAAGTGTTCTCTACATGTTTGTTGAAAGTCCGAATTAAAGATCAGTCTGATTATTCTCTTTTGCATGATGAAGACTCGGGATGCATTGGGTGAATTTCCCCATAAGACAATGTGATATGATATATGAGAGTAGACGAGTGAGTAGTAAACTTGTAGAAGCTGTTTCGGATAAAGTATATTTTTGAGTTGTAATAGAGCATAGTACGCACTGTTAAGTTTTTTACAGACGGTGTCTATATTAGAGGCCCAACTTAGATTACTGTCTAACATTACACCTAAAAATTTTGTTACCACAGATGGACAAATAATTTCCCTTTCCACTTTTACAGTGAATTGACTTGTTAGTTGATTTCTAGGGGAGAACTGCATGACTACAGTTTTAGTGGAATTTAAGATCAATGAGTTCTTGTTACACCACAGAGTAAAATTTTCAGCCAATCTGTTTAGTTTATAAGCAAGTTCAGCAGGGGTTTCACCATCTGCAGCCAGAGTGGTGTCATCTGCATATAATACAGTATAATCTGCTTCAGTATGTATCGGGAGATCATTAACATATAATAAAAATATAAGAGGGCCAAGTACAGATCCTTGTGGAACTCCTCGTTCAACATCTCTGAATTCCGACCTGTTATTATCAATTTTCACACATATTTTTCTTGTTTTAAGATATGAAGATAGCCAGCTCATTCTCTATCTACTGATTATTAGTAATAGGTTTTGTGAACTTACAGTTTGACGCATTATGTTTAGTTTCATTGCGGAAGCCAACAGGCCCATATGGTGTTTGGTCTCTAGGTTTCAGACACTTATAGGAAATGAGCCAAAAATACTGTTTCTTCATTCGGTATTTTCATTTCTTTATTGTTCTAATGCCTTTGTTAAGACTTCGTTGGCAATAACACATCTGTATCGCTTTCCTATAGCTGGAAGGTTTTGATCACATTGTGGCAATTCCACTGAATCGAAAATGACAGTAACGCTGTGTCTATCACTTGGACAATTACAAACTCATTTGAAGTTTGATTGGCATGACAACAATAATCGTTTCCTATCAGATCAATCCAATATCTATAGGGGGATTTTTATAATAATCAATTTATATTATTCAATATTTCTTAATTTTCACAATAAATAGTGCAATTTGATGGATGATTCTGAACATACATACTTAATACTGCAAGAAACAATCTCAAACTCCCATATTCCATCACCTACCACTTATATTTTGCGATATTATCATGTCTTTGTTTTTCCCGCACTAGTGCAGGAAAAAAATTCCCGCACTAGTGTCTTTTTAATATTCCACTCTGCCATATGTTGTCCATCTGCAGAAAGGATATGTTCAGCTAGTTTCGATTTGTTGATGAGTCTTTTCTTTATATTGTATTAATGTTCCTTCGTCCTTACTGAAAGAGGTCTCTTGGTTTCACCTGTATAAAACTTTCCACAAACACAAGGTATACTGTAAATACAATTTTTTGACGATTGCTTTCTTCATTTTTCGGTTTTGTTCGAGTTAGAATTGATCTTATTGTATTTTCAGTTTTGAACACAGTTTTCACTTGAAATTCATCACCACATAACACGTTTTATTTTTCCGATATTTGTCGTTTTTGATGGTTGATTTTGAAAAGAAGAGAACAACCAGTAGAGAAAAATCAAGGAATCTGCTTGTATTCTTCTGAACGGAGACAATAGCATTGCTTCCTGTTCAGTTGATATAGATAGAACATGGTATTCACTATTGAAATCTGAAAATGACGATGAGAAATTCAAGATTAATAAATGAAAACATCCTGTAACTCATTTGATTGCCAACGTCACCAATTGTCACTGAGAACTGAAAAGTGTCAGGACAAATACGAATTTGCGATACAGAAAATCCATTTTTTATGTTGAAAACGGGAGCAGATTCGTTCCCGAAACGTCCAAAGCTAAGTAAAAATTTGATAATTTTTCTATATACGTTTATTTCTCTTCTCCAAACGTTTTTCAATTCAAATTGTCACTGACAAGCTGGTGAATTTTTCTTTTAGGCTCTCTAATAGGAAAATTCTTCAAAGGCAGTGACATTTTGAGACAAATTATCTGATTTGTCCTTACTACACGTATATTGAAATAATATTCATATTTTTATTTTATTGAAATCGGTGGTAACGGTATGGCGCTTTTTTGCATTCTGTCACCTCGCGCTACGAATACCCCCCCCCCCCCCCCCCTCCCTGGAACAAACCTGTATATGCGCCTGCAATCATATTATGTAGGTACTCAATATCTATATTTCATCAACTTATCATGAGCTAACTCTATCTTTTTATTCTGCTATCTCGTATTAGTATGTAGAATTTATATGAACTGAAGAATTATTCCTATTAGCCTTGATTGGCAGTGTTTGAGACCTACCTATTTGCTTCGCAAATTTACTCAAGTATGAGTTATGGCAATGATTATGGAGACCTTCGTGGAATCTGACAACTAATTGTTTTCCGATTTGTCCGTGAAAATGAGAAGGGTATGGTAGGCACGACAGTAGTTTCCAGACTTTCAATTGCTGCGGGTCTTTTCAATGCTTCAGTGTGATCAAATGTGATACAGGTGATAGCTTCTTATACCGTCTCATTATACTTATTATTTATTAACTGTACGAAATTGTATAACTATATTTCATCTACATCTATATACATCTACCGGTTTTATATTCGAATCCAATTGAAATAATATAGTGGAAAGGTCTTTCAAAATCGGTAATGAACAAAAATTAATAAAATGCATCCGCCAAACAAAAGATTTTGTGTTAGGTTGTGGAATTGGCATGGGCGCCCGCAAAGAGAGGCCTGGGGGTGCCGTGTCCCCCCCCTGAGAATTCTGCACTCCCTACATTTTTCAAACACAACGTGGCTTTCATATGAGAAAAACTTTTAATGATAATTGATTATGGAAATCGACTTGGGTGTTAAGTTTTGATCTGAAATAGATGGCATACTCGCCGGTCTGGTTCACGTGAGTTCCGTTACATGTCAAAATAAGTTACATTTTCTCAAATTAATCGCTGAAAACAGGCTCATTTATATGAATTTTTAAAAACTTCACTGGGAAAAGTTGTTTCTATTTCAATATTTTGAATTGGTTTGGTTATGTTCGCTGCAAAGTTGATGTACTTATCGTCTAGCATTCAGGAGCACAATTTATTTAAATAGATTTTTTCAATGAACTTTTCTGAAATTCAAACAAATAAACCTATATATTTTCAGCGATTCATTTGATTAATGTGTTAACGTTAGTTCCTATGTATAAATATGTCAGAAATATGTCTGTATATATGAAAACAGGTCAGTTTTTGGAGTGATTAAAATTGTTCATCACTATATATAACACCAGGATTAGAAATCATTTTCATGTACCATTTGGTAGACTAAGACCAACCTTATTGCTCTTTCCAAAAAAAAAACGCTAAAACGTTTTCTGGTGCAAAAATGTTTTTATTCGTTGACAGAATTTTTAGACTAGATATAGGGTCTTGTTCTTTGAATCATCTTTCCTACATTTTCTGTCATTTTTGTATTATTGTCTTAGTGGAAAATAAAGTATTATTATAACTTTTGATATGTATCAAAAGTTACGTGACCCCTACTGAGTGGGGCATTTTTTAACTGTTTCAAAGCAAAAATCTATTTCTAAGACGAATTTCATAATGAATTATTATGGAAAGTTTTCCCGAGTATACTAAATTTATGAAATACACTGTATATCTACATATATTTCTTTAGTTTTCTGAAACTTTCAACACGAAATTGAACCTTAACCAACCTTCTCTCGAACTCCTTTTAGGGGATAGGGAAAAGTCTACCTCTTGCCGATAGCATCGACAATATGAAATCTATATATATTCAATGCCGATGGATATACCAGCCTACATCAATACACAGTACTGTATTGTTAGTTGCCTATAAGACAGGCTAATCGAACTGATGTGTGAACATTCATTCAACCAGTTGTACACTTTAGCTCTCTACTGTGCTTTAGCGCACCGTGACTGGTTAATTCAAATAAGCTTATATCGCCAACCAATTACAGCATGATGTTGTTACTTAGTGGTGGACGTTGCATTCCTCTTCTCTCTATGATCGTTCTGTCTCGGTATCATTATATTGACAGGTCTTTGACGTTTTATGTTTGTCTTCCCTCTGTCATCGAAGTAATCGTGAAACTTTGTTTTGTTTGTTTACATTTTGTTTCAGTTTCAGAATCAGAACGTGGTACGAGCATGTTGAGGAAATATTTAGTGAGGTCGACTTCTAGTTAAAAATACTCGTAACTAAAATAAATGTACCCACTCCAGTTCAAAAACGATGTAGACATTATCTCGTCATATTATTGTACGTATATAGCTATTATACTGGACAACATCTGCATTTGGATTGTACCAAATGAAACAAAATGATATAAGGTAGTAGAGGTATGCCATCTATTTTTAACTTCCTGTAATTTCCATATTATTATTGTAAGAAAGCATTAACCATTAACTATCTATTATGTCTCAATAGGCTTATCGGATTAGGTTATCAATAGTGTGTAGTTTTTTCTCATAAATATTTTTTTTTGTCTAGCAGGTACCTATCACACTCACCTATATAGATACAGGGTGGCCACTTTTTTAATGGGATTGTATCGGTAAGTTCCAAACCATACCTCTTCTGTCTGTCTATGGAAAATATCTAATCGAAAATGTCAGTGTTGGTAGTTCTGAAAATAAAAAAAAGGTAACCAAAAAAACTGCGATATGATCGAATTTAGTTTTTACGTCATATCTCAAGAACCAGCCCACATATTTTCCATTATTTTCCAGTTTTCAATGCTATATATGATGCTTCCTGATATGCAACTTTTCCTCTATTTAACCAACCTTCTAACTAGTAACTATATGGTAACGAGTACATACATACATGATTTGGAAGGCATTAATACAATCCCATTTAAATATAATTATGAGATCGTACCTATACATATATAGGTATATTTTTAGTTACAAATATATATAAGTATTTATACTGTCGGTATTTCCAATTCTAATTATTAATTATCAAATCAAGGTCAGAAGGTATATTGACTATATCATTGCGGTATGCAAATTTGTAGTAGGTATATTAACTCATATGGTTTGATTATAATTTAATCAGGTTCTGTGTAAAATTTTTTAAGGAAAGAGTTTATCAATCTATCCTAATAATACATTAAAAATATTTAAGCTTAACAAAATAACCATCACCAGAGAAACATAATATTTGAAATAACATTATAACAATTTTAAAAATAGAGGGACAATAATATATTGAGTATAACATTACAGCTTACGAGACCATACGCTGTTGACTGTGATAAGAGATAAGTGATATTATTTATAGGTATACTGATGGTTTATATTTTTCCTCGGTTGCTATACCTAGTGCAATATTTCAATAATTCTAACCATTTCGTTTCAGATGTTGGTCAAACTTCTTTCGATTTGGCTGCTCTTCATTCACTCCTCCTGGGAGATGATCCCAGATGATGATAGCAGCTGCTACCAGCAGTGTTTTCATCAACCTCCCGAAGCTTGTCCGAATCCTGGAAGTGCCTGCAGATGTCGTCAGTTGACGAACTGTAAGAGAGCTGCGGTCTGTTGTGATATAAACGATGATAATTTCCAGGATGCCTTGAAGTGTGGAAGTGAGTGTCCATTTTTTGACTACATCAGTCAGGAAATATAAATTCTGCATTCGGGGAAAAATTGATAAAAGATGGGAGATCGCAGATCTATTGAGACATTAGTAAAGAATTGAAAACAGTTCTTCAATTCACGCCCGATTAGAATAGAATTCTTCTATGATGAGTGGGGTGGACAAGAACACAATAAAATACTTGGTTAATCCCTTTGGGAGATATTACATATTGCGTGATACTTTCCTATTATTTGTGGAAAACTCAGCAATTGCCCAAATATATGGCTAGTCTATATCGCTGTTTCTTCAAGGAGAATGAATACGAACAGACCCAATAAAATCGGTTGATCTGATTGGAAAAATAGAACTATACTTATTATATTATACTCAAGCCTGTATTTTCTCCAGAAAGGCGGAACTCAGTATGCCTGATCTGATACCACAATTTCCACTATATCTATATGTTCGGTATTTCAAAGAAAATCATGTCCGGTCCATTGCAAAAACTGCTCCACAAAACCTCGGATTTTTATTCCGTGCAAAAATCTACTTTCCATCTCCACAACATCTCATGATCTACAAAGCACAGATACGACCAGTTTCAGAATACTGTTTCCACATATGGGGTTCAGCACCCAAACATACATTTATTATTTGATAGTAGTAGTTATTCATCGTCAGGAAGCAATGGTGAATGAGTTTCTTGCTGAAGTTGTTGAAAGTATTGTACCCATCTGATAATTCCCGAACCTTTGTTATAGATTAACGAAAAAATGAAGGATTATGTTGAGGAGACTTTGCCATTATATTCAGACACACGTATCATTGACCATTTTAGGTGGGTGACGAAATTCATGTAGGTACAAGGGACAACATTTTCAAAATAATCTAGCTACAAATGCTATAATATATATACTCAGATGCAAAAAACGCAGCAAGTTAATATTCGGTCAAATTTGAAGTCTCATAACTTTAATTTTTGATTCGATTTTTATAAATTTCTCAAGGAACTGTAGAGCAAATGACTAATCTCAACTTGTATATCCTGTTTTTTGTTAAATGCTGGTGGATTAGTCATTATACAGAGTTAATTGAAAGGTTGTTGTGCAACCCTAATTTTAAAACACCCTGTGGAATAATTTGGTAGCCAAATTCTTTCAAAATATCAATTTTTGTTAAGAACCATTCCATTCCTACATTTTGATTTTTGATTGATTGATGATTGATGAAATCTGTCATCAGAAGAAGTAGTTTTTCGTTTTCTGCCACAACCTGCCCTTCGCTTATTTTCGCCAGTCTGTCTACGTTCGACTACTCTTTTGATGGTAAAACGATGAACATGAAGTATTCTTGCCACATATTCATAATCACGTCCATCTTCAACAAGGCCAATAGCTTTTGCACTATTTTCCGTTCTCAAAACCACTGCAGGAGTATAGGACAATGATATAGGTCTTGTGTAAAAAAATCACTGTCAATTTGACATAGGACAACTGCGATCGAAGCCACCTCATCAGAAATAACATTTCTTAGAGTAAACTGTTGTGGAAGGTTAATTTCGCACTTGAGAATGAACAAGTGCCTTCAAAGACATGGATCAAAAGTCTAAATGTAAAGAAGGAATGGTTCCTAACAAAAAATGGTATTTTGAAAGAACTTGGTTACGAAATTATTCCACATTATTATTTGAAATTAGGGTTGCACAACAACCTTTCAATTAACCCTGTATAATGACTAAACTGCCAGCATTTAACAAAAGACTGGATATACAAGTTGAAATCAGTATTTTTATCTACAGTTTGTTGAAAAAATTATGGAAATCGAACCGAAAATTAAAAAGTTATGAGACTTTAAATTTGTCCGAATATTGACTTGCTGCGTTTTTTTTGCATCTGAGTATATTAACCATCAGTCCACATGGGTTTCCAGAGATATTATGAATAGACTCAAAGGAGGGTTTGAAGCTTCAGAATATTATTCCAATGAAGATACAGGTTCCAAACTACTTACTGATTTTTTCGCAAATTCTGAGTAGAGGTTATGTCGACTTTGTTCAAAACTTTTCTCATCATTATTTTTTCTTCAGATTTCACTGCTGACAGTGTGGAGGCGCTTCACATCCGCAACGCGACCTTGGACGAACTCAACATTTCTCTGCCTCTGTGGAGGCGGCTGAGACTGAGGTACATGACCATAACCGATGGCCACATCAGGAGTGTTGCTGGCGAGTTTGCCAAGCATTCTGTCGTGTCTTGCCTGAATTTGTCTTCCAATGGGATCGGCAAATTCGAACGCAGAGCTCTGGTTTACCTCCACAACCTCAGCTTCTTGGATTTGTCCCGGAATAATTTGTCGGAAGTGCCTAGTTTCAAGATGGAGGGGCCAATGAAACTGGATATATCAGGTTAATAAAATATTAGTTGATGTATTAAGTAAATATCAAACCACTAACTTTCAACCATTTTCGTATCTAGTGGTGAAATTACGAATTTTAAGCGACCCTGTATAATGCAGAGCGAACTTCTACACACTCAATTAATACACAAGACCTTTGTATGCTACAACCAAAATTTCAAGTTTTTACGAATCCAGATACTGCAGTAATGAACATTAAATTAGAGCTATGTTTTGGACAAAAAATATAGAAAATAATTATTAACTTGAAAACCGTCAGAGATGGGTATAGGAAAGTATCAGGCAAAAAGATTCAGAAAGTGATTACAAATTCAAAAATGCTATCATATACAAGGTGTCTCATTTGAAATAACAAAGATGATGCTACTTTTTGGTGAAAGTGTAACCACATTTTCAGGATAATCCAATGTACCGTTTTCCGTATACGTCTAAGGTACCATCGACCGTGGGCCACCCTGTATACACTCAATCTGAATGCAGAAGCTCAGTGTCGAAACTAAAATCCTTGGCTTGAGCGTCAAATGAAATGAATCCCCATTCAGACACAATGTTCAATTCCTTCAGCATTAATACCCTCAGAGTATTGTAACTTAAATTCCCAAAGCATGATCTATATATAATCAGTAGATGAAGACTAATTCTGTAGCATAAGAAGTTCAGTGATGATCTGATGATTCGTTGAAAACAGCAATAACGAAGTTAGGAACAAACTACTACTTCGCCCATCACGAACCTAATCTTCATTATCCGATCTGACGAATTCGAGTATTGTAACTAAAATTTTCAATGCATGAACTATAATGAGTAGGAGAACACTAATTCTGTATCAAACTATACTACCTACTTGGCCCATCACGAACCTTATGTTCATTATTTGATCTGAGAAATTCGAGTATTGTGTAGCTTCTTTTTGGTTGTTAATTTATCATTGCATCAATGGAAATGAATCTGCAAAACTCCAGATTTGAATATCAACTCAACAAATTTTTAGAAATCAAAATAATAATCATGATTTTTGTTCATGATAAATTGAAACCGTGGAAATGAAAGGTTTTGTTCTTTATTCATACTAAAGCCACTTTTTCTCAGAGTTAATCATACAAACCGGGTCAACTAAAAGTTAATCACTCAAGTTTCCTCGAAGTGTATTCCCTCCCATTTATTTCAAAATATGACGTAATAGTTAACTAACCACACAAACCAGTTAAGTGAGGTAGTTCATGAAGTAGTTAAGGCTTCTGATTAGTCACTGGATAAGGCTCTTTTTCCTCACTCTTGTTGTTGTTAGTCTGAGGTTATAATTGATAAAATATTAAATATTTTTCCTTTTGAATGGGATTATTATTGATTTATACCAAGTATTCGTGAATGAAAGATCCCATAATATTATAAGCAAAAATAAAATTTCCTTGGATTTGAAGTAGGTATAAGTACCTAGTATCTATCTATAGTATCTTATTGTTATAAATGACGAAGTCATAAAGTTCTTATTCAATTTGGGAAATTATTAATAGATTAATAACTGACAAAATGACATCTTTCAGGCGCCACAAGTGAACCGTGATGTCATGATAAAGTTATCGTGGCGTCATAATAAAGTTAAACTGGTTTGCCTGGTTAGGTTCTAGGAAAAATGACTTTTATAGCATTATGAATTTGAAGGGATATCAACTTGTTGGAATTTTGGTCTGTCACGAAAGATTAAACTGGATAACAGCAATTTTTGAAATCTATTATTTGGGAACTATCAATAATTGATTTGAATATGAAGGAAGCGTTATGGGGTCCAACTTCCCTAAATAGAGTTTTTTTTTGAATTTCAAGAAAAATTGAATGAAAATTATTTCCAAACCAATTTTTAGAATCAGTTACTCCTATTATATATAAATGCATCCTTCTGATATAGATAATATTTCAAATTTTGATAATATTTTTTTAACGTGTCAACTTTATGTCCTGGACCAGGTCCTTATGAACATTGTTGATTGTATATGTTGGTAATCTCCACAATTCTGTTATTACAACATTTTTTGTATCTAGAAAATCCATCAATGATGTGCTCGAGTGTTCAGAAAGCCTTGAATAGGTCGGATATCACATTTATCAAGGAGAATTCGACTGTATGCTTCAAATCGACGGAGTATCATTGGTTCAATTCAACAGATATCATAGAGTTATCACAACTGAAAAGGTTACAAGAGGTAATGAACATTTCATGAGAAAATTATATCTTGTCCCGCAGGAAGGTATGGAAGATTTGATAGTGGCGTCAAGTATGGTAGATATGAACCTCATGTTCTCGGAATAGGTACGTATAAAAAAAGCGTAGAAAGAAATTAACGTCATCGTATTTGTGCTAAACGGGGGCTATGGGACTATTGGGACTATTGAACTAGACAAGAATTTAAATTTCAAAACACACTGTGAATCATTTTAACATCTAAACTTAAATTATTCTATTACTTGATATACAATTTGAAGACTATTTTGACTCATGAACAATTGATCAACTTTTACTATGCACAGGTGGAATCTCGTTTGAGATATGGAATTAACTTCTGGGGCAATTCCATACATTCTAAGAACATATTCATTGCACAAAAACGAATTGTAAGGTGCTTAACAGGAAAACTAAGACAACACTCTTGCAGAGATCTTTTCAAAAAACTGAACATATTAACTCTGACTGGATTATTCATTTTTGAGATATGTTTATTTGTCCATAGAAATAGAGAAGTTACACCGAAAAATTATGATACGCACAATTTCAATACGAGACAAAAAAATAACTTGCGGATACCCTTTGCCAGACTGAATATCACCAGTTCATCGCCAAACTTTATTGGGCCAAGATTATTCAACAAATTACCTGAATCAATAAAAAACTGTGAAAAGGAAATAGAATTCAAAAAACAAATCAAAATATTTTTAGTTGGCAAAATTTTTTATACTGTGAACGAGTTTTTGTGTACGTAATATTCCTATTTGATAAACCTAGAATATCAAGACTAAGAGATTCTAGGGAAATTTCTTGAATCGATTGTCAGCTAATGCAAGACAGACTGTTTCGACTTGCCATAAGTCTCATCAGTTGCACTGGCCAGCTGACAATCGATTCACGAATTCAGTTGCATCTAGTGACTTGATATCTAGTCTTGATATTCTAGGTTTATCACCATCTGTTAGTGGAACATTAAACCACTTTGAGAATTACAGGTGTTGCGATAGTCTACAGAATCTGACATGGATGTCTTTTCTGTAAGCATATAGACGTAGGGGTCTATATCCACGACTCACTCGCAAGGTATGATTGATGAATCTACCTATACACCTTGCACTTAAGCCACTAGATGGCTATAAAGGCTAGATCGTCCTTCTGCTCCCTCAGGGCTTCGACTTATTCCTATTTGTTATATACACTCATTAGTATGTACGTTTTCTTCTTTAGTTCGTAAGATTCATAGTTTCTTAGTATCTTTGACTATTCCTATATATACAATGTATGTTGTCAGTTATGGAAAATAAATGATTTGATTGATTGATTGATTGATTGATTGATTGATTGATGGGTTGCGTGCAAGAACTGTCAGATGATCGACCCTGTAGGTGAAACAATGAGACACAACCTCACTTTTCTCATTTGTTTACATATGACTGAAATAGTTATTCACAATCATTTTAGCATACGAATCGTATTTTTCGGCTATTCATTAATTCGCGCACATATTGTGCTGTTTTACAATGCACAAAAAATGCAGCGAGAGACGAAGAAATCCGGTTGGTACATTATGATTTTAAAGTATGTACCTACTATAGTCACTCACATATTGTTTTCATTTTAAAATTTGGTAATTTCTTTGATACTTCATAGGAATTCTTTCTGCAATAGGAGGTAATAGAAATACTCGTGAAATATATGAAAGAATGCAAGAAGATTGGATTCATGCAATCAAAGGAGAGGACTGGTCTGACATGCTGACGAAATATGATCGTGTATGTTGTAGACATTTTGAATCTATTCGCAGTATTAGCTTCTATTGCTGAAGTGGCAGAAGAAATTCCAATAAGATATTACCAAATTTCATAATGAAAACTATGTGATATTGATATTACTATTTACCTGAAAAATCATATTCCTTCGTCTCTCGCAGCATTTTTTGTGCATTGTACAACAGCACAATGAGAAGGCATCCTTGAATTGATGAATGGCGCAAAAAAACACGACTTGTATGCCAAAATATTGTGAAAAACTATTTCAATCCTTTGATTCCTCTGTAAACAAATAAATTAGTGAGGTTGTTTCACAGAAAAGAGATGTTGTGTTTCAATGTTTTACCTCCAGGGTCGGTCATCGTGCACGCGACCGAGGGAATGATTATTTGCCAAATGTTGACAGTAAAGTTATTTGTCATAGGTTCTCAAAATCAAAGGCTGAGCCAGTTCTACACAAGTAGGAAGACGTGAACCTCCGTGGTCGATTGAGCATCGCAATTTTGTTTACAACATTTTCATTGATACACAGTAACGACTCCGCAATCATTTCAATGTTGGCCGTACGGTCAATTTCCTGAATTTGAAACAATTATGAAGAGCCGGTTCTTTCTAATTGGGCATTCACTCACTTCATAATTGTTTCAAATTGAATCACACATCCATTAATATGGCAACTCGTGTCCAGTAGATAAAACATGAGGTTCACATCTACCATACTCGGCGCCACTTTCAAATCCTCCATACCTCCCTGCCGGACCCAGAAAATTGTAGAGCTAGAGTCGTTATTGCGTGAAATTGTGAAGCTGATATTGATGGCATTCTGAATTTCAGATAGAAACAGAGTGTTACAAGAACTGTACTTGCAAACCGCACAGATTAGATATAGTCATGGGAAAATCTCCTACTTTCACTGTAGCCATGAATTGCTCAGGAGCCAAAATGCTCTCTCTCCCTGTACCATTACCGTTGAATACTGATACACTAGATGTTTCCAATAATAATGTAAGTAGTAAAATGTAATATAATTCATTTTCATTTGATTTGTTATCTTGGGTGAGTCATCAACAAAATACCCCTCAACAATAATAATATGAACAGAAAACCTGTCAATATCTCTTGGCATCCCAGAAGTACTTCATTTTCCATTGAAATATATCAGTTAATTTCAGTATTCAGGTTTAGGTTATTAGTTTTTTATTTATTTCATATTTTTTAGATAACCTCATTGAAGGAGCTTAGTCATGAGTCATATCAACATCTGATGTTCCTATACGCTGATAATAATCAAATTCGTTCCATACAGCCTTTGGAAGGCACCAAATTCATGAGTAATTTCGACACTCTGAGTTTGAGGAATAATAAAATCAAGACGGTAAGTTTGATTGTTTTTGTGTAGCTACCAAAATATTCTCATTGTTTTTTTGTATACCTACCCATTTTTGTTATTTTATTTATTCTTTCATTCATTGTCAATGTAAATTTTGAATCTTGTTTGATTTTATTCCTCTACATATATTCTAAATTACGCTTATATTTCAGCTCCTATTCATAGTTTCTAAAATCGAATTGAAACATTATGGATCAAATTAATTACGAAACGCAATATTGTTTAGTAATAACGAAACGAAATATTGTTTAGTAGGTGATCGATGAGGACAAAATTAAATCTAATCTATGACTTGTTCCAGATTGAAACATATTTGCTATCCAACATACGGTTTTATAGAACTGACAGTACACGCCACATGAATTTGGGATTGAACAAATTGACTTGTGATTGCAGTACAGCCAGAGATTTTAAGGTTTGTAGTCGTCTTTCAGCTAAGTTTAGCTATAAAGACGATATGTATTCCTTAAAAACACTTTTTCATTTCGCGTTAAATTGATGTAGCACCACTACTGCAAGTGCAACATATGTATATGCCATGGAATCGCCAGTTATCCCATGTCATACAAATATTTATCAGTATTCTAAGCTATTGAATTCCTAATTTACTTGAAAAACTCATCAGAGAAAGAAACAGAGTCAAACGAAGAGCCATGAGAACTTTCTACCCTCACAAATTGGAATATAACAAAGATCGTAATATCGTGAGAACTGAGATTGATAATTTCCGGAACTCATAGTGGCATATGGCACTCTGGAAAATATAGATGAAGGTGCTAATAATCTTTGGAAGGTGCAAATAATCTTTGGAAGGTGGCCAAAAGGATAAAAATAAATGAGATAACCGTCATACCTCTTCTAAAAGGAGAGAACGGGGTCAAGTACAGTACTGCCGAAAAAGCTGAAGTCTTTGCTGAGTCACTGGTATCACAATTCCAGTTGAATGAGCCACCGGAGTATGGTCAGGAATGGGATAGTTCTGTGGAACCCCATTTGAATAATGACCTTCGCCATTTGAGAATATTTGTTTCGCTTCTACGGATGAAATAATCGGCTAAATCAGAGAACAAAAAATCAGGAGAGCTCCAGGTACTAATGGAATTACAAACAGAATTTTGGAAAGGATTTCTGGTGATTTCATCCATCATCGTTAACGCTGTATTGAAATTATTATATTTTCCTCAAAGATGCATGCCGAAGTAGTGATGCTGAAGAAACAGGGCCAGGATAATGCTCTTTCGCAGAGCTATCGTCCTTTTAGTCTCCTATGATCTTCCTCAGAGATATCTGAGCTAGTGATTTAACATTACAGGAATTTACCGAAGACAACGAGCTGATACCAGATGAGCAGTTCGGTCTTAGAATTGACCACTCAACTGAACTACTAGACTCATTGATAACACAATATTGTTGAGGAATAAGACCGATCTTGCTCTCCAAGACGAAAGTATTCGACGGTGTGACATGATGGTATTTTATACAACATGACCGATATGGGCTTTCCTGTGGATTTGATTCAGTTGATGAGTTAATTTTTGAAAAATCGAACTTCTCAAGTGAAACTTGATGATCTGGTATCAATCCCATTGAAGCTGGTGTTAGTCATGGTGCAGTTTCATCGCCGCTATTGTACAGTTTATTCACTAGCAATTTGCCAAGGCCAGTGATGTGCAAGAAGTCGATTCTCGCTGATATGGCAGTTCTTGCATATTCAACAAATTTCGAGCAGTCAACCTTCAAAGCGCGCCGAATTATCTTCAGGACTACATCCATAGGTGTGTGCATTGATAGAAAGCTCACCAGGGCCCAGCACATTGAACAACAAGTTGCAAAAGCTAAACGAGCCATGGAGCCCTGTATCCATTTCTGAACGAACGAAGTAAATCGGGTTCGATACGTATATTGGTATTTGCTTTTGCATCATGGCTATCTGGCCAATTTTACTGTATGCCTCGGTGATCTGGGGCCACACGCCCACTAAGCACCTTTGAAAGCTATGTTGATGCAAGGTTGTAGCAATTACTGAATTACAGTAATCTTCAACATTGCACCAATATACCTTTCAACTTTGCTCAGTGGGCGGCAAAATCTCATATCAGGGGAAAGAAACAAAATCATGAGAATGGTGATGGAAGTCACTCGTATTTTCGGAATGAATCAAATCGCCAAGGATCTGGAATTTTCATCAATTGCACTATCGTATCAGAGAACGAAAGATGAGGGTCATGAGAATCAGCTACTTGAAATGCAGTTATTCATAACCCAGGTGATCAATCAAAGTTCAAGACACTGGAGATTGCCCATAAACACTCAACATTATGACTAAATTTACTCTTCTCAAATTGTTAATATTTTTTTTTGTTTCGCACCGGCAATTGATAGAATTATTCACTCTACCTGGATGTCAAATTGTTCCTGCATTGTTCACACTACTGTGTGTATGTCAATTTAATCAATTTAATCGGCAACAAGAGTGGGACATTTAGGTTCACAAGTGTCAGTTAACACTGGTATGAGTGCGATTTCAATTGTTTGTGAATTTAGTTATCTGAATTGATATTTCATCGAAATTTCAGGAATATAGAGTGAAATCAATACGGGATTAGTGGAAATTCAATCCAGAATTATTTTCAGAGGATATAATCTGCGAGAAATGTAGTAATATAGTTGATTGCAGTATCAGAGTGAGTTTGTCAGAGTATTTCTACTTTAAAAACATACTCTGCGAATTTGACTCGAAGCGTTTTTTTACTGTGTATCTCGTGTTGGCTATAGGTACCACTTCAAAAGAAACTGACCAAAACTGTTATTTCAGGTATGGCTATTGACTAAGTTCGAGCACATAAGGGACTACGAAGAGTTGTGGTGCGACAACATGAACGTCAGAGTGATCGATCTGGATGAAACGAAACTGTGCCAGGGAGAACAGGAGTGGACAGACTACATCTACTACGTGATAACGGTCGAAGTTCTTCTGCTGGTCGGCCTCATCGCCAAAGTGTCTTACGACTACTGGGTGTTCAAAACGTCCGGGTATCTTCCGTGGCCTGCCAGCAAAATGCCTAAGCTGCCTTGCGATTGGCTGTGCGAATGAACCGCTATAAGTGCTTTCCTGCGAAGAAGCTGAATGTCCATGAACATCAACAATTGTTGGTTTTCATTTGAAATTGCAAAGTAATTCTGTCGGTTGGGCTGATTTGCAAGATTCATATTACAATTTAGCTCGTCACTCATGTCAAGTGCAAGATGGAAGCTTTCATTCCATATATGAATCTGTCAATTGGGAATGTATCCACATATTCACATTGGAATTTCCCTAATTGCAATATCAATCTTGGAGACTAATTGCTAGATATACAGGGTGTTTCACAGGTGAAGGGAAATATTTCGATGGTAGATAGGGGTCACCAAGGTGGTTCTGAAAATACCATATTCGATAGGTCTTAGAGTTTTCATAACGGAGATACAGGGCGATTTATCGATTTCGAATAATTATTAATTCGTCTATAAGTATTGAACTACCCAGTATATTTTTTTAAAATTTGGTATGGAGCTTAAACTTGGGACGTTGAATGCATTCACCTATCGGGCGAAGTTAAAATCCAGGTTCGGCTCCAGGAAAAATTTACATTTATTCGAAATATTAAAATAACACACTGTATGTAATAATTGACAAAGTTCATCAAAGGAATCGTGAAGAAGAGGAAAAACTGAACTGGCTTTGATGCTTTTTGTTTTCCCGCTACCAATTCTCATCGTAACAATCATAAACAGGAAGCTAAAAGTATGTCAATTTCAAGAGTATTAAAATTATGAAACCACTTTCAATTATGATTATTTGATATATTCTTGTTTAATGATCGTTCGAAAGAACTTACTTAGTCTCACAGTCTTTATAACAGAGATACAGGGTGAATTATCACTCGTCCATAAGTATTAAACTACCCATCGCAGTAATATTTTCTCAAATTTAGTATTGAGCTTACTTGGGACGATGGATTCATTGACCTATCAGGCAGAATGGATATACAGGTTCAGCTTCAGGAAAAGTCTCATAGTCTTTATAACAGATATACAGGGTGAATTATCAAATTATAATTCCACCTGATAGGTTAATGAATCCATCGTCCCAAGTGAGCTACATACCATATTTGAGAAAATGTTACTGGGTAGTTTTATACTTATGGACGAGTGAATAAATATTCAAAACCGATAATTCACCCTGTATCTCCGTTATGAAAACTTCGAGACTTAGTAAGTTCTTTCGAGCGATTTTTTGAATAAAATATATCGAATAATCATAATTGACACTGGTTTCATAATTTCTATACTCTTCAAATTGACATACTTTCAGCTTTCTGTTTATGATTGTTACGATGAGAATTATTGGTGGCGGGAAAACAAAAGCATCAAATTCAGTCCAATTTTTCCTCCTCTTTACGATTCCTTTGATGAACTCTGTCAATTATTACATATACAGTGTATTATTTTAATATTTCGAATAAATGTGAATGTTTCCTGAAGCCGAACCTGGATTTTCACTTCGCCCGATAGGTGAATCAATTCAACGTCCCAAGTATACGCTCCATACCAAATTTTAGAAAAATATACTGGGTAGTTCAATACTTATAGACGAATGAAGACTTATTCGAAATCGATAAATCGCCCTGTATCTCGGTTATGAAGACTCTAAGACCTATCAAATATGGTATTTTCAGAACCACCTTGGTGACCCCTATCTACCATTGAGATATTTCCCTTTACCTGTGAAACACCCTGTATTAATGTGACCTGAAGGTAGAACTCAGGAAATGGAAAGAATTTGAAAAGTCTTTCTACTGGAGAGCAACTCTAGGTCAACGAGAGACGATTCATCAACCATTCGCAGAACCGATCCAAAGAGCTACTCAGCCTCAGCTAACCAGAGCTAAAGCTTTCTCGCAGGCTTCCTCATAGGACACTGCTCTCAGAGGTACCATTTTAAAAAGATGGGTCTGGTGGTGACTGACACTTGCCGCTTTTGCAACAACTGTGAAACACATACTTTGCTCATGTAAAGTGTCAGTCAGTCCAATCAGAGTCTGAATCACAAAGCAGAGGTCTATCTCACGCCTGATGAGGTGGACAATTCAAACGCCAGGAAAACTCTAAGTAATCAAAATAGATCTCTAAGTTTAAGTCGCAGTGATCTAGAGGTCTCCCAGCCTATATACCGCACCCATCTGCAATATGTAATCTACAATTGCTAGATATCGATAGAACTAATTTAAACATTCATCATAGTCCAAGAGCCATCTAATAACTAAATTATATATGTTCCAAAAGCATGTAAAAACATTGTAGTATATCGAACGGCGCCTGTGTCATTCACTATCCTGAGCAAAACGATTGAAAAATTGCACTTTCCCATGCGGAAATATGCACTCGATTTCGTAATTTGATAATGAGATAAGAATTATACTATCCGGTAGCAATTTGATGGTAGATTTCAGAAGCCTAGCTGTGTCACTCATCAGTCTGAGTGAAATCCACGCCACAGCCTTTTATTTGCTGCTATTATTCCGGACATACTTCCATCATGTAATAACGAGTTCAAACAAGAAGCAAATGAAAGGGGATGATGTCGCCTTTGAAAATATCAAAACGTACCGCGATTCAAATTGATCTAAGTTGGTGGCAGAGCGGCAATACTTCCCAGAATATTTCACCCTCCTCTGAAGATGATATCCGATGTACCAGTGTTAAACTCAACATGTGGATTAGAATACTTGTGGTTGAGCACCACATGAGTTCACACTGATCCATCAGATATTATCTTTCGACAAGAGAGAAATATTCACGGAAATATTGACACTCTGCCACTAACTTAGATCAGTATTATTCGCGGCACGTTTGGATATTTTCAAAACGGAATTTTTCCCTTTTCATTTGCTTTTTGTTTCAACTCGCTTTGCCGTGTAAGGCTTAGACTGAGGGGTGGTACAGGTATAGGTCTATTGGCACAGGTGTCGTTCGATGAACAACAATGTTTTACATACCTTTGGGACATATATTATTTCGTTTTCAGATGACCGTAGAAATCTGCTGCCGGCTCTCCTACTATCATAATCTTGCATTTGACAATTCAATTACATTACTATAATTTCAATTGAAAAATTCGTCTATTATGGCAATTCAGCTCAACTGTACCTTCGCGCTTCTTTCTCAATGGTTGTGATAAAATATAGTGATGTGAACTTGGGACAGAAAAAATATTTTGTTGCAATTCTAAGCCAACTCAAAATTGATCGAAATATCTATTAATTTCTCAATTGCGCCTCTGTTTTTTTGTGTTAGCTCAATCTATATATTTTGACAAAAAACATGAGATGTCCTGGAAGTGGTAGCCGATTTGAATATCCAAAATTTTTTCTTACTGTTTTCAACAGTTGATATATTTGGAGTATAGAGGTTTCATAATGAATTCCATTTGTTTCTGAGTACTCGCATCATTGAAAGAATATATTGTTTTAGTTTTTGCGCAATCGCGTGTTTATATTGAAATTTGTATATTTGGTACAGGGTGATTCACCATAAATGTCTCTTCCTCTAGCTTATATTTCTGAACTGATTCCAAATTTCTATTAGAAAATACGACAATACAAATGATATGTATCCCATTGCATTTCAAGATTCTCCCTGAAGAGCCGATTTCATCAATATATCACACTTGGTGTCTAGCGGAAATGATTACAGATATAGGGTGTTCAAATTCAAGATCTTTCAACTTTAGGATTTTTTGTGTCGAAAATATTCAATATTGAGCAAAATGGCTCACATGTCTAAATTAACTTATCCATCTACCGACATTGAATTGGAACAGATACAGGGGATGAATTCTGAATCATGAACCACCCTTTATTTGTTCCAATCCAATGTCAGTAGATAGTAAATTGAAAGATAATGAATAGATTCGACACAAATTAATCCTAAAGTTGAAAAATCTCGATTTTGAACATTCTGTATCATTTTAATCATTCCCGCTAGACCCTAGTGTGATGCATTCATGAAATCAGCTCTTCAGAGAGAATCTAAGAATGCAATGTAATACTGGGTGTTCTACTAAAAAAAAAACAACTGATACCCTGTAGATCGTTTGTTCCGAATAGACTCTATTTTCTGATGTAGCAGAAAAAAAAATCATGACAAATAATGTCAAATGATCTCTAAAATTGAAATTGGTTCGAAAATAACTGAGATAGAGGGGGGGGGGGGGGAATTTATGTTGAATCACGCTGTACGAAGCATGTGCTATTGCATGCGGAACCAATCAGAATTGAAAATCATATTTTTTGGATAGATATATTCCACTTGTACAGTGGGTAACTAGAAAGATTTTCAAATATCGAATGAAAGTCTTGCACCTATTTTGAAATGATAATAAATTTCTTGAGAATATTCATTTCAAGTCGTGATGCAGAATTCTTAGGTTCATCCCATATAAGTTCCTATAGTGTACCCACTATAATGATACATTAAACAAAACTTACCTATGAACAAAGTTGTTTATTTCAGACATCAGGTGCGAGGATTGTTCATGATCATGAATTCGATTGATATAAATATAACTACTAATAAGTACCTACATGGCTTCATATAGGTAGTAAATCTGTCTATTCTGAACTGAATATCAAACCATGGTTCCATAGAGCACCTGTTATAGCGATACTATGGGAATAATAATGAGAAACAAATGCGATTCTCAAATAGTTTAACACTTCTTCAAGAAATGTATTCTAAATCTGGTGTATAGGTGTATTTTTAGCACCTTTAAACAAACTCCGAACTGTGATGTAGTTATAACAATGAATTCATAAATAATTAGCAAACCTACTTGCTACAAGTACTCGTATAAAAATAGACGATTAATTTTTTGCAAATTGATGTATAAATTGCCCCTCTTTATATTAGTTTTTTGACTGTTATTTGTGATCGAGTTAATTCAACGAATAATGATTTTAAAATGAAACTGTTTGCTCACTACAATATTAGTCCTTTTTTGTTTTGTTACGTTTTTACAACTTGTATAATAATTACTGTAAATTTCAATCCATA